CCCTTTCTCTTTCTGGTCAAATTAAGTAATAAAAATAAAATTAATAAATAATTCTTAAAAAAAAACCAGATATGTCATTTTTCCTGCTCCAATATAAGCTGGCTACTCCTTAGAACTCCATTTACAAAATCATGTCTTTGTTTTTGGTTTTTAGTGTGTGTGTGTGTGTGTGTGTGTGTGTGTGTGTGTGTAATTTAATCCCTTATTTTGGAGGAACATATCCAAATGAGTTCAATCAAGCCTATGACTATTAAGCCCACAGTCACTGGAAAAAAACAAAGATGAGAAATGGGCAAGATTCACTTCAATATATGCCATTTGGCTTAAAAGAGAATCTCCAGGGTCCAGTAGATGGCATAATGGTTCTGTCGCAGGACTCCCACGTAGTTGAGCATAGTTTGAATGTTGGACCCAGTCGTAAAACTCATGCTGGGAGCATTTGTGTGCATGCCCAAAACCCAAAAGAAGACTGGAGGAGAAGAGATCGCACCATTCCCCAAGGGGTGATTTCTCGCTTTCTGTCTCTCTTTCTCTGTCTCTCTGGCAAGTGCATACAACCTATAGCAAAACAAACAAACAGACAAAAACTCTGTATTAAAAAAAAAATCTTTAAGCATGGTTACTTATAAAAATTCCCAGAATTCCCAGGAATCATTTAAATCACTGTATACCTTAAGTCTTCATTTCCCATCACTATTGGCTAGGTACAGAATTCTAGAATGAAAAAAACTTTCCTCAGAATTGCTTTATTCCGGGACCAGCAGTTAGTGTAATGGCTATGTCGCTGGACTCCCATGTAGTCGACTGCAGTTCAAGTCCCAGACCCGGTGGCTTAAACTCACACCAGGCGCGTGTGCGTGCATGCCCAAGATCCCAAGAGGAGAATGGAGGAGAAGGGATTGCAGCGTGGTCATCCCCCCTGGGAGGTGATTTCTCGCTTTCTGTCTCTCTGTCTCTCTCTGTCTGGCGAGCGCACGCGCCCTATAGTGAAAACCGCTCCCCACCAAAAGAAGAATTGCTTCATTGCTATGGAGAAAGGATTGTGGCGTGGCCATCCCCCCTGGGGGTGATTTCTCGCTTTCTGTCTCTCTCTCTCTCTATCTGTCTGGCGAGTGCACACGCCCTATGGCAAAACCTCTGGAGGAAAAAATGATAAAAAGTAAAAAAAAAAAAAAAAAAAAAGAATTGCTTTATTGTTTATACGCATTCAGCGTTGCTCTTTTTTAAATTCTAATTCCTTTGTAGGTAATCTTTCATTTCCTCTCTGGAAAAATATTTTAAGATTCTCTTTTTTTCTCTTGATCCCTTAGTTTCAAACATTCTTGACTGATTGTGCTGGGTAATTGGTAATTCAAATATTACCAATTAAAGTGAGCATTATAATCTGGAGACTTTTGTTCATCAGCTCTATCAAATTTTCTCATTTCTTTGGAAGTTCCTCTCCCCTCTGCTTTCCCTCTTCCAGAGTCATCTACTAGTCATGTCTCACTCTACTGGATGATCTCTTTATGCTTTGTCCATTTCGTTCTTACATTATTTACTTCTTTGTTTTTTTTTTGTTCTAGCTGGGAAGGTTTCTTAATTTTATCTTCTAACCTTTTCATTGAAATTTTTCTGGTAATCATGTTTTAATTTTGAAGAGATTTTCACATCCTCGTGGTTCTTTGTCTTGGCATCATGTTTTAATTTTATAGATGCTTCAAAAATCTTTCTGAGAACATTAATAAGAATTACATGATACAACGGTTACTCTATTTTTAAAAATATTAATAAGGGGTCAGAGGGGGGTGTGATGGTTAAAGCAGCTGGGTCTCAAATGGCTACAATTCAAGTCCCAGACCTGGAGGCTGAAAACACATGCCATGGGAACCAGCAGTTAGCATAATGGCTATGTCACTGGACTCCCATGTAGTCGACCGCGGTTTGCGTCCCGGACCCAGTGGCTTAAAACTCACACCGGGTGCGTGTGCGTGCATGCCCAAGATCCCGAGAGGAGAATGGAGGAGAAGGGATTGCGGCGTGACCATCCCCCCTGGGGGTGATTTCTTGCTTTCTGTCTCTAATGTCTCTCTCTGTCTGTCTGGCGAGCACACGTGCCCTATAGTGAAAATCTCTCAAACGAAAAACCAAAACATGCCATGTGTGTGTCTATTTGTGCACAAAATCTAGTAAGGAGGGAGAAATAAAAAAGGGACTGCAGTGTGGCCATCCCTCATGGAAGGGGGAGCTTTCCCACTTTCTCTCTCTCTGGGTCTCTCCAGTGAGCAGCTCACTTGCCTTCTAGCAAAATTAAAAAAAAAAAAAAAAGAAAAGAAAAGAAATTAATGAGGGGACTGGCCCTGTGGCACAGTGATAACACTTTTTAAAAATTTATTATTATTATGTATACATACAATAGAGAAGCCGATTCCCACATAGTGACTCCATTTGAATTTTCCTTCTGGTCAGCTTTAAACACTCTGGTCATACATGTGAGTGCTCAAGACCCAAAAGGCTGAAGAATTGCAGGAAAGGGGTCATGGCATGACCAAACCTTGTGCAGAGTTCTCCTGTCTCTCTCTTACTCACATATGTTTGCATGTGCTCTATCATGAATGAAGAAAACATTTAATATTACCAACTAAAGTTTGCACTAATTTGTCTTATGTTACCATATTTCCTCAGAATCATCACCTCCCTCTTCCATTTATTTTAGTTTCTCTCTTTAAAACTGAAGATTTTACAAAAATATCTGGTAATTTTGTTATCAGCTATAGAGATGAATCAAAGGCTAGAATTTTTAGTGCATGTTCAGCTAGTTCAGAAAATTAAATGTCTAATCTCCTGTTTAGGGGATAAGTACCTGCCTGTATCTTATCCTGGCCCCTGCTTCAGATGGTGTAGATGCAACTTCAGCTTCTCTAAACTTTAAAGTTCATAGGGCTCAACAGTTCCTTTCTTGCCTGTGTGAGCATTCTGCTTTAGCCTTATATGCTCTTACCATCATTTCTCATGTTATCTTCCAGACTTTTGTTGACATTTTCATTTGCTGATGACTCTTCACTCAGTCATTCCAAGTTCAAAAAAATTTTTTTAGCTTCTTATTATCATGTAATTTTTGGAAAGAAGAAATATATACATGTATTCAAACTGCCCCAATTTTTTCCTTTAGTGGAAAGGATAGACAGTAAGTTGGCTACATGAGAAATTCATTGTATTTCCTTTTTTTTTTTTTGGAGAGATTTTCACTGTAGGGCGCGTGTGCTCGCCAGACAGACAGAGAGAGACAGAGAGACAGAAAGTGAGAAGTCACCCCCCAGGGGGGATGGTCACACCGCAATCCCTTCTCCTCCATTCTCCTCTCGGGATCTTGGGCACGCACGCACACACGCCCGGCGTGAGTTTTAAGCCACCGGGTCCGGGACACGAACCGCGGTCCACTACGTGGGAGTCCAGCGACATAGCCATTACGCTAACTGCTGGTTCCCATGTATTTCCTTTTTTTTAAAAAAATATATTTTAGTTAACTTTTTTACTATTATTCTCTTTTTTTTTGTACAGAGAGAGGGAGAGAGAGAGAGAGGGAAAGTGAGAAAGCAAGCCACCAGGTCCAGGACTCAAACTGTGGTCGACCGTGTGGGAGTCCAGCGCCTTTAACCACCATGCCACTTGCCAGCCTCTCATTTTATTTCTTTTATAACATAAATCTCACTTCTAAAATTTAATTTAAATGTTCAGTAAATACTAAGAATGAGGGAAATATATACTTTTTAAAAGTTTACAATCAAGTGGAAGGAAACTAAAAGAATCAGTATCAGCATGATTATTATAACATCAGCTAAACATTACTGAACAGTTATTATGTGAACAGGGCTGTTATCTCATTTACTCTCAAAACAA